CGTTGAGAAGAAAATTAACACATGCACATATCACAAGAGAGAGAAAAGTAAAACTCTCTGGACCACGTTTCGATGCGTCTGAAAATGGATTTAATCTCTTTCAAAAAGGTAAATATTTAAAAAGACGAATGCACAATTCTCTAAAATAGATATTAATATTATTAATTCTATGAATTCAATTCCGAAAGGGAAAAATATGTAATCTATCAGGAAATTTCCACATTTATCCGAATTTCCACATCAATGTTTCATTCAAAAAACAAAATTCAAAAATCCAAAGTTCAAAATAGAGTTAGTTTTGGGTGTCTTTTATTTCCCTGTCTCAAGTTTTCAGGTCATCTAATGAAACTAAGACTTGATTTTTAATCTCTTGTAAATAGAATATTTTGATGAATTTTTTTTCCTGATTTTACTCCCTCACAAACAGATTGTGTCAGCTTGATATATCTCTCGTGAAATTATGCTCTGAATGGAGTCATTCACACATGACAAAAGTGAGTGAAAATAGAGGGGTACAATGCAGGCAGGGAAGATGACGTAATTAGTGCTTTAATTTGACTTGACCTCTTGGCCCAGGCTGCAGCTTCTCCTTCCCCTTGTTTTGACAAACAAAATAAAAAACACGGGTGCTTTCCTCGATATTTGAACGTCGCCTATGCCCAGTTTCAAAAGCAAAATTAAAGAAACAACTATATTAAAATTATACAAGGGAGATTGGTCCACTTCCCTACAAGTAGACATGAATTTAAATTCTTTTGGCAATATTCAATACATGAAGATTTTGTTGATGAGTCTTGGTGGTCCTTCAAAAATTACCAGCTCTTGCCAATCTCAATTCTTAAAAGCCCTAACATCTCAAATATCTTATAGATAGACCCGAGTAGTGCCGGATTGTTCGTCAAATCTCGTGCTTGCCTATTTTATTTTTTACTTTTGGGTATTTCACATGAGGACATTTTGTGAGCTTAACCTTTACTAGTGTATTGCATTGATGATACTCCCTCATTCAATATTATTAGACTTTTTTTGTTATGAAAAAGACATTTTTTTTAAATACTATATTAAAAAATATAGGGTACCTCAAGGTGAAATTAATAAGATTTTTGTTATTAGAAAAAAAAAAGGGTAATCACCTCAAAACGCCCAAATAGAAGAGCCCACCCGAAATAGATCAAAATCATGCTTTTGTAGGAATCAATCAAGTTATTCACTCTAATTATTTTCCCCTTGTTGGCTGCACTGGATCTTGGTGAGAAATCCAGAATCCTAGTACTTGCGTTGTCCCGCGTGCAATACTCAGTACGTCAATTATAATGTAGGATGTGTTCAGGACAATTAAATTTAGATGGATCAAGTAATGCACCGTTTCGCATCCGATTAATGATTTAAAACTGAAATGGCCAAATATTCACCCTTGGCCATTTCTAAAACGATTATAAAAAATTTCGAACCCCTGAAGAGAGCCAAAATATAGAAACAACACTAACAAATCCAAATCCTCTCTCTTCTTCTCCAAGAACGTGAGCTCAGATCTGAAAGGGAGAATTAAGAGGATTGCAGGAATGAAAATCTCTACTGAAATAAGAAGATACCTTGGCTTTCCCCATCCTGAAGATCGAAAATCAACAAATAAATTCAATTATATTGTTGGGAGAGTAAGAACTAAATTAGCAGGATGGAAAGTTAACTGTTTCTCCACGGTTGGAAGAGTTACCTTAGCTAAATCTGTTTTGTGTGCTATCCCTTTTTTTTTTTTTTTTTGAGAATTGGGGAAGGCCATGGCAAAAATCATGGAAAAATAAAAATTATGTCATATAAGTACTTTAAAAGATATCACACTCTAGGGGTGGCTCATCTAAAATCTTAACAATAAAACGATCATTAAGTGTTTAATGTGCAATTCAATCCGTGCAATTGTTAACTTTTCTATAGAAGTGATCAAGAGTAATCGTCCATGTAAGTTGCCAAAAGCTCAATCTTGATTTGTAATGACATTGAAAAGATCCGAAGAAATTTTATATGGGAAAATTCAATATCAAGGGGTTTTCATCCACTCAGTTGGAACAAGATTTCTCTCCCAAAGGCCTACGGGGGCCTTGGTTTTAAAAAATTATCCTCGGTGAATAGATCTTGTGGTACAAAACTTGCTGGGAAGTTGATTACTGGTAGTAAAGGACTGTGGGCTAATATGCTTCAAAAAAGAAAAACATATGTACAGATCTGAAGATTTGCTAAACGTGGAACAAGGAGGTTCTCCACAATGGAAATTCATCTGTCAACATAAAGATTATGAGGATGAGGGCACTAAATGGCAACTTAGGAATGGCGAATCAATCTGCTTCTTTGAAAACCTTTGGTTTTTTTTCCAGACAAGAGAATCAAAGATTTGATTCTAAGACCTCTATCCGATGAAGGAAAAAACTCCAAAGTCTCAAATAAGATGTGTTTTTGTGCTTGGGGCTTCATCAGCATATCCTTTATTGTGTCAAATGAGGTAATCTCTAGCCTTATCTCTGTTATGGCAGCTTCTCCGTCTAGTGGCTACGATATTATGCTATGGGACAAAACTACGGATGGAGTCTTTACTACCAAAAGTGCATACTTTATGATTGAAACCCCCCCCCCCCACCTGACTTGCTTAATCCTATGTATAAGATTATATGGCAATGGAAAGGGGCTAAGCGAATTTAGTTCTTTATCTGGCTCACATTTCATAATAGACTGCCCACTAATAGCTAGAGAAGCTTGTGGACTAGTTGCTCCCCTCTCTAATTATGGTGTGAATCTAATGATGAAGATGCTCTCCACATTCTCCAAGACTACTCTTATGCAAAGCAAATCTAGTTTAAATTATTGCCACAGCAATACCATCTGACTTTCTTCTCACTTTCTCTAAAAGATTGGATAGCTTGGAATCTCAAACCATTCTTAAACTCAGGACTCTATTCTGATTACAGTCTATTATGGGGTGTACCCATCTAAAAACTTTAGAAGTGGAGAAATTGCTTTTGCCTTTACTAAGATTTCCATGAACTAATCAACCCCACTATTATAATTTTGAACTCTTAGAAGTCCTTTGTGATGCATAAGGGCTCTAACCAAAATGACCCTAATGTAAAGTTGGAAAAATGAGTTGAACCTGATGGGCTGGTCTTGGATATAAGACCTCAAAATTGCAAATCGGACTAAAATGGGCTGACTTTACAGGGCCAAGGGCCTGCCTGTTTAATCTCACATATATTTTTTATTTTTATATAATAAAAATAACTCTAAATCTCCTCGCTGTACCCTGATTGACTAACCCTAACTTGAGTCAAACCAAAGCAGATATGAGAATCTAGGGTCCAAAACCAAGGCAACGACAATTCTAGTCTTCTAGATCTCGATCTCATTCTCTCAATCGGCAATCGCATTTGGCCCCCTAATCAACACTCATGGTACACTCCCACTTCTTCTTCATTGTTCTTTTTTTTTTATTTGAGCATCTAATCTAAAAAGAGCTTGAACTATGGCAACATCCATCTAGTCTAAGCTTAGTCACGTCTCAATCTTAATCTCAATATCCCTATCTCTCTTAATCATGTCTTACAAGTTGCACACAAACATTGTTGTTTGATTCTCATCCAAGGAAGAAACGTTTGGTTGATTTTTTTTTTTTATAGGGAATGGATTTGATAATGATATTTGCTTTATGATTTTTATCATATTTTTTTTCTTAATTTTATGTATTTATTAAAAGAAAGAATGAAAATCAATAGAAGAGCCTAAAGCCCATAGGCCAACCTTGAGCCCACTATCCTAAGGGCTAGGCTTTGTAATTAAAGGTTTCAAAAGGAAAACAAGCTTTTCAACTTTAGTCTTTTTAGGTTTTAGCCCATCTAGGGCTGACCCGTTTTTCTAACTTTACCCTAATGCTATTAATAGAAACATGATTTGGAAGCCTCCTCTGTAAGGCTGGGTCAAATTCAACATGAATGGTGCAACTTCAATATCACTCAACAGAGTCAGTTGTGGCAGAGCTCTCAAAGACTTGAAAAGTTCATGAATCGTTGACTTCTCTAAATCACTCAGTAACTATATTCCCTTTAAAGCTGAAGAATGGGCTGTAATGCATAGCCTTCATATGGCTTGGAATAAGGGCTTCAAGAAAGCAATTATTAAATCCAACTCGAAAAGCTTAGTGGATATAATCAATGAATTGCATGAGGGTTTGTACAATGAAAGCTTAGGGCTTGTTTGTTTTCTATTCTTGAAAATTGTTTTTTTATTTTAATATTTTTGAAACAAGAAAATTTGCTTGGCTAATGGTTTTTTAATTTTTGTTTTGAAAACTATTTTTATTTTTTTTGTTTTTAAATATAAAAAAAAATAATTTTAAGATGTATTTGTTCTCATTTTTTATTTTATCTTTTGTTCATGATTCCGGCTCAATTGAAATCGTGCCTCGTCATTTTGGACTCGGTTTCTCTCCTCCTCCTACCCTCCTCCCACCCCCTTATTTAATTTGAAGCATCTAGATCTAATGTTTTTAATTTTTTTTATTTTAAAATAAAAAATTATATAAATTTTAATAGATCTATTTATAAGTTTGGCTAATCTAAATTTAATATAAATAGTCCACATTTAATTCATATAAATCATAAAAAAATTAATATTGAATTGATATTGTTTAAAATATATCTAAAAAGTTAATTTATAAGATATTTAATATTGAATATGGACCATTTATATTAAATCTAGACTATATAGACAGGTGAACAAATTTATAAAAAAATTCAAAAATATATCTAAAAAGTTAGTTTATAAAATATTTAATATTAAATATAAATTATTTATATTAAATTTGAATTGTACAGATAGGTAAACAAATTTATTAAAAAATTTTATATTAAATATATTTAAAAAATTAATTTATAAAATATTTGATGTTAAATATAGATTATTGATGTTGAATCTAAACACAGACAAATAAATAAATTTCTTAAAATTTATATAATATTTTTAAAAAAATAAAAATAAAAAAATATTAAATCTGTATGTTCTAAAGGTGGGCTTTCCTCGAAGGAGGAAGCCAGCTCCCGCCCCTTTGCTTTTGCCTCACCTTTCTTCTCTGCCTCTGGTCTTCATTGCAGCCCGGAGCCGTCGCCACCCTTCTCACCGGCGTCACCTTGCACGGTGCTCCCTCTTTTCGACAAGTCTGTTACTAGTTTTTTGTGGTTATTTCTCATCCATCGCTTTTGATCTTCACTTGTCTTCATCACATTTCTTTTTTTTTTTTTTTTACCCTTTCATCTTTCTCTGCAAGGATGTAGTCGAAACGTTTCCAGAATCGCCGGCGTTCCGTTAGAGCACCTACTTCCTGCACGGTCCACGACGGTGCACGACCCAGACAAGTCCCTGCATTGACTGATCTTAGACCTTGGAAATTGTTCTTAAATGACTTGTGTGGCGTGCCGGAGAAGCAAAAGAGAGCATTCCACTTCCATTCTTGTACGAAGCGCTGCCATCGAGTCGGTTCCAACTTGGATCGGAGACGGAATCCAGCAATTCACAATCTCTCCTACCTTCTGCCTCGTCTTCTTCACAATTTCTTCCTCTTCCTCTTATTGCATCTGACTGAAGCTATCAATGGCAAAAATTGAAGCTCGTGCCATAATATTTTGCTGGGTTCAGGTTGGGTTACTCCACAAGGCAGAAAGGATTTCTCTCACAGATCTTTTTTTATTTTGGGCCAAATTTCTTTCATAGACTGAAGACGGAGAAATCACAACCCAAACACTAATGGTTCATAGGAGTTATTGATTTTCCCCTTCTTCCACAAATATTTTATTCCTTGGAGATACTGTTTTATATCTTTTTATTTGATTTTGTTGTGCTTGACTTGGATCTAGTTTTGTTCGTTTTTTCTGATGGTGGCTACGTTGATAGTGGTCGACGATGATAATATCTAGATTAGGGCATTTTTTGTCTTTGGATGATAGCATTTTATTTTTTTTTAAAAAAATGACATAAAAATTTATTTAAATTACATGAATGATAGATTGGTCTCACAAAATAGCATAATTTTTTTAGAGTCCCATGAAATTTTTTTGTCATTAAAAAATTTAAAAAAAATGATTAAATTGCTCTCAAATAAATCAAAAAATTTTTAAGCTACGAATGATTTTTGAATTGTTGTAAATTTAAAAATAAAAATTGTTAATATATAAACAAAAATTATAAATGAAAAGTTATAAATTTTTAACACCTGATGCATATGAAAACCTACAAATGCAAAATTGCGAATAATTATTGAATTATTACGAATTTAAAAATAAAAGTTATTAATATAAAAATAAAAGTTATGAATGTAAAGTTATAAATTTTTAACACCTAATATATATCAGGACATGAATCAAGACTTACAAATAGTTATTCAATTATTGAAAATTTAGAAACAAAAATTATTAATATATGAATAAAAATTTGTGAATGACAAATTATAAATTTTTTTAATATAAATAAAAGGCAAAAGTATCATTTCTTATAATTTTCTAATGATAACAATGTCACTTGAAACTTCAAGAGAATTATATCATTTCATGATATCAATCTATCATTTATATAATTTAAATAAATTTTTTTATTATTTTTTTCTTTTTTAATTATAAATATAAATATTAAATAAAAATAATATCTCAATTTCTTTTACATATTAAACATATCTTTAAAATCGATAGCCATCTTCATATCCATTTGACCATTTCTATCAAAATCAAACAAATTTTATTATATTTTAGTTTTTAGAATTTATTTTTTGCCAAGTTTTTTTTTTTAATTCTAAATTGTTTTTAGATTATTACCACCAAACAAGTATTTTTTGTATTTGTTTTCAAAAACAGTTTTCAAAATTGTTTTATAAAACAACTTTTAAAAACAAAAAATAAAAACAACAGCCAATTAAACCCTTAGTCTTTTTAGAGATCCAAAACATCCTACATGTCTGGAGTATGCTTGTGAAATTTGTTCCAAGGGAACAAAACATAGTTGCTGATTTGCTAGCAAAAGAATGGATTTCTTCCTCTTCTCTTTTTGACGTTGTTCCCCAGTTTCTGAGGGACCTTGTTCTGAAAGACTACGGGATTTTCAATCCCCTGACTTTGTTTAGTATTTAATATAATGGGCTCAACCACACCGGGGTTACCCAAAAAAGGAAAAAAAGTATGTCCAACATCAGATTATAGTACAATGTGAAAGCTTCCCGCAGGCACTTAAAATATTAGAGATACATTGCCATTGGAGACTCATAAAGATCACTGACAAGTGCAGGAGGATTCATTTTCTGGGGTTATACCAATACAAATCTGTCTTCCGACATCATTAGAAGATCACCGCAATAGTTACAATGCCCATATAAGTTTGTAAAATTTACAGACACTAGCGATTACATATACCACTGCCCATCCCCATTACTCTAAGAGGTAATACCTTTAGATTTTTGAATACATACTATATAATTGGATGCAGATTAAGATCTTCTGGCATCATTTTATTCACGAGCAGTTTGTGTCATAACTAGCAAGTCCCAGCAACTCCGGACCTTCCAAGCGAGGGTTATTTGCAAAGCTACAGATTGAAGCAAAACAAGGTTATCTCACGGGGAAAAAATGGCAGGAAAACAGACAGTAGAGAAACAAACTTAGGAGAAGGCAACATTTTTGTGCCTTTCCAGATCAATGGACTGGATGTATCCAGAATCCCAATCAGTGACAAAGAAAAACTCATAGCAGAAGATTTTTGCGCTCTTTCCAAATCAAAGGACTGGATGTTGAAGGGAAGGTGAAGGAAAACATCAGAATTTCTGAACATAGATAATTGCTCTCCCAAGGATACAGACTTTCAGGCACAAAAGAGATACCAATTAATTCAAGCAGAATTTTTATCCTCAATGAGCAGTGCAAGAGGTGGGTTCAAGGGGTCAGGAACTCAACATAATCTCAATTTTTCCGTACTTGACAGCATGTGAGCCAGTCTGATACACTTCTCATCTCTAGGTTTTACAATAATAATTGGAAATACACAAATCACAAAAAGAGCAATGGGGCAGCATAGCCGACAAACATGAGCAGAAGCAAAATGGGATAACAAGTCTATTACTATAGTCATGGCAGTTTTACAGTGGCTGGCAACAGTTATACTTCCTACATTCAATGACATTCCATTCTAGTCATTTGCAAACCAAGAATGAGTGGGTATGGGCACACAGAATGTTTAGTTGAATCAAGTTGTGACGGGGGGGAAATAACTTTAAGCAAAAATTTGCAGAGATGATATACAAGATAGACTACGAAAGGCAAAATCACGTCTATGGCTGTTATGGTCCACATAGGAAGCATGTGAAGATGCAAGCAACATATTAATCAAGAAGCAACACAAGGGCACAAACAGCACTCGAATGGAAGACACAGGCAGATCTTAAATGTTTAATCCTTAGAGAGAGAAAGATAGTGAGAGAAAGAAGAAGAATAAAATCCTAGCTTTCAAAGTTGAAAATATAAATTAAAATTAAAAATAAGATATATTGGGAACCTACTTTGATAATGGAATATGCTCAAACGGTCCAGTTGTAGGAATTGTTCCACACAAATCATTGTTGGAGACGTCCCTGAAGAGAAAAGGAGAATGGTATAATTGTTTTTGTTTGAAAGCACAATGGACCGTAAAACCTCCAAGAATTGTATTTTTAAAAAAAAAAAAAAAACTTACACTACTTTAAGGCTTGAAATAGCAACAAGTTCCCTGGGGATTGGACCAGTCAATCTGTTGTCATTAAGTCGTCTGCAAAGAAGATGATGATATGAGAAATGCAACATGCTGAATTTTGTATGACACAATCATTTTTGATGCACAAGTTAAGGAGTTTTACTGGATCCAAAGAAGAGTAGCTAGCAGGTATTAGATCATTGTGTCACTGCCAAATAATTTAGTACAGTATCAATGGTTGTTTGCAACTTCTCAAGTCATTATCTACTATATGTTCATGTTGAAACTTCTTATTAGGAATTTTTGAGCCATCAAGTTTGGATCAAATGAATAAATCTCGGGACTTGATGAATCTCGGTGTAATAAAATATCAAAGACCTTCGATGTTTGTAAGCATATATTAGACTTGGAAGGATAATTCATTAATTTAGAGTACCCATTGCTGCTGGTGCCACCAGAGATCAACTTCAGTGAATTGAAGTCAAATAGTCTTCTTTTTTATTGCCCATATATCCTCCTTTGTTAACTAAGCAAAGTTAATATAACTTTTACCACCTTTCATTCTTTCTGAGATCAATCCCTCCACTTTGAACCCTTCCATACAATGACTTATATTTAGAGAGATCAAGGAGCTGAAGATGTCATTTCCTTAGTTATTCAAAAGTGGCAAAAATTCAGCCATTTAATGCTCAATTATATCCCCATAAGATCAATCCCTAAACATCAAATCTTAAACCAAAGATTACATCAACCATTCTAGAAACTAGGGAAAATTACATCTAGGTCCCACATAAGGAAATTTATTACCAACTAATCTCATGAAATTCACAAAATACTCCTAAGTCTCAAATCCTGTACATTTACAATTTGACTAAAAGCATTAACAATAGGGCAATGGCCATTTACAATTTGTAATTCTATGAGACCTACATGTAATTTTCCCCAAAAACTATACAACTAAAGAATCTGAATGTCCACAATAAGTTGCAGTTGAAAGTTTCTAGAATCTGTCCCACTTGACATCAACAGATTCAACTGAAAGGCAGGGACAAAAGCATACAAGAGCTGTAGCACAACCCAACCAATTGTGCTCAAGGAGAGTCCTAATAGATTTAAGCAGACTTACAAAAAGACGAGACTCTTCAACTTCCCCAATGAAGGAGGAATTGTCCCTGATATGTTGTTGTTATACAAGTCCAAGCTAATGAGACTCTTGAGGCTTCCAAGCTCTTGAGGAATAATTCCTTGAATGTTGTTTTTGTACAGCTCACTGCAGCAACAATAAGCATATAGCTTGGCATCAATAAAGCTTCGATGGTAATTATATAATAAAACACTGCAATACACAACAAGAACATGTATTTGGGAATTTCAAATATTGGGAATCTTTCAATACACAATGATCAACCATGAATCAGAATCATCAGAGAACATACAGATACTGTAGATGCTCTAGTTTCCCAAGTTCAGGTACCAAATGTCCAGATAGGTTCGAGTTACCGAGATCCCTGCAGAAAGCATCATAAGCATGTTAGCATAAACTCCAAAAGAAATAAAAGCCAGACTGCAATCAATCGATTCAATAATTTGAGTTGCTCTTTCAACACCAAGTGGTGAGCTGATAGCAAAATTAATCTTCCTCAGGTACACTCTAGATTAAGCCATAAACATATCTGGATATAGATTAAGTCCATAACTTATGAGATATTGTTGGAAAGTGAGAACATATAAAGACCGTTTAATAGGCAGAACCTGACGCTTAATAGGGGCATCACAGAGAACTACCCACAGCAAGTCAATAAGCATGACAAACTAGAGGACTCTTCGGACTTTAATCACACACAGCCAGACAATCCCTCCGTTATCGGAAGTAATAATCTAAATTAAGGATATTCGCAAATTGGCCACAAACATCTATCTGTTAAAGCGGGTAATGAAATTCAGCCCAACCATACCTTCATTCAACCCCTACAAAATCGAAAGATACAGAAAATAGAAGCTATGCAGAGCATAAATATAGCATAGCAATAATACATATGATGTACTCTCCTCCCTCTTCATGGAGCCTCCTCCTTGAGCCGGTCCATGGTAACGTGATTTTGAAGTCAACTATCATTGACGAAGCGGAGCGAGAATAGAACTGCGCCAACACGCTTGGGCAGTTGAGCTTACACATCTTAGAGAAGAATTGCCACACAGTTTCAACTTGCAAAGAAGGAGACAGTAAAATCACTAAAAGCAAGCAACTAATACACATATTGCAAACGGAAGATCCTCTGATCCAAGTAAGGTAGCCTGTCAGATTGACCCCATTAAACAAAACAAGCTAATTGCTAATCCTTTCCCTTGGAAACGAGAATGAAAATGAAGAGGGTGAAGCTATCACCGCAAAACAACGTTAACAACCAACAAACGCAAGAAAACACAGCCAAAAAAAGGAGGAGGAAAGGATGAGGCAATACACTCGGGTGACACGGTTATCCTGGTTGCAGGTGACATGGAACCAAGTGCAAGGGTTAACAAGGGTGGGATCCCAGCTCTGGAGCACGTTATCGGGATCCGATAAGCTCCGCCTGAGGGTGTAAAGTGCGTCTCCTTCGGAATTAGCAGAAACGAGCTGAGCTGTAGTTAGGGTTAGTGAAACAAGGAAAAAGCCCCAAAAGGAAGTCAAGCTCGGTGCTTCCATGGCTGAAGCTTCTCTGATCTGCGATTACTCCAAGCTGAAGCAGAAGCAGGACACCACCAGCTTCTAGGGTTCGCTTTGCCCCTTCTTATTCTCGAACGAATGCCGAAAAAGCTGCCCGGGTAGCCTTGGGAGAGAAATGAAGAGTCAAAAATAATCTAATCTAATAACACAGTAGTAAAACTTGGAGGCATTTTTCATGTTAATGACCTTATATATCGATCTCGTAATTTCCGTTTTCAACGCCGGTTTGGATATCCTGGTAAAACCAATTTTAGATTTGAAGCCGCTTTAAAAAATCTTCTCCAAACACTTCCTTTTCATTCATTTGAAAATCAATTATTAGCGTTTAAATATCTTCCAAAAAATATTACTCCCTCCGTGGTACTTTAAAAAAAATTAATCTCAAAATATAAAATAATTTAAATAAATTAATATTTTATTAAATACATTAATTTTAATATTGTTCTTTTTTTCTGTAATTAATTTTTGTCCCTTCTCTTTTTAATATATAAATTATGAATATTTTTAAAAATTTATATTTTTATTTTAAAAAAATAAGATTGTTAAATGTATTTAATGAGATTTATTGATATGTAAGATTTTATTTAAAAGTGTCTTATAATTTAAAACGAATGAAGTATTATCTAAATATTATTAATCAATTTTTGACAGTTAAAAACCAGATACACTCACATGTTACAAAAATGATTTGTAGTGAAATGCGTCCTTTATAAATCTTAAATAATGTGACTCTATTAAATTTTATTATATTCCTTTCATTTAAAAATATAAAATATTTTTAATTAAATTTTACTCTCAATAAAATAATTATCTACTTTTTAACTAATCATATATTTTTATATTTATTCTTATTAAATACCTTATAATAAATATAAAGCAATTATTAATAGAAATATTTTTTAAAAAAGATAATGATTACACTCGAACGATTAAAAATACCTTATATTTTTAAATACCTAACTCTTTAAAAAATAATTTATATTTTTTAATGAAAGAAGTATGTATTATTAAATTAAATATCAATGATTATATCATATTGATAATTGATTATTTTTCATATATTTTCCCTCTTTCTTTAGATTTCCTTTTCTATTTGGCAAAAGGCGGATTCACTGAATTGGTGTGGTTGTTCCCCACTCACAAGCGCTGCTGATTAAATATACTGTGGATTTGGTAGCATTTTGTGCTGACAAGCGATCTGCGTGTTAAAATGATATCTCCTTTTTGCCAACCAAAAAAAAAAAAAAAACAGATCTTATTCTTGCATTACAATTTACAAGCGATAATGACAGTAAAGGATCAGTTCAATGGAAAGATTGATTATATATATATATATATATATATATTATTAATAGAAGAACAAGGGAATGCTCATCATTTGTGATGAGTACAGCATGATCATCAGATCAGGAGGAATCTTAACTTTTTATTTCAGCCTTATTTAATCCCTACCATTTATTTAAATTAATTTTTTAAATGTTTTTAATATTATATTTATTAATATAAAAAATTTTAATATATTTGTTTATTACCAATGTGGTTAGTACAGATTTAATCTAGCAGTCTAATTTAATATTAAAAAATTATAATTTTATAATTTAACTATACAGATAGACTCTGTGCAGTTCAGGTATAATTTAAATGATTTAATTTAACATTAAATAATTTATAAATTTTATAAATTAACCATTTAGATGTCCTTTAAATAGTCAAAATTTAATATTAAAATTTTTTATATTTTTTATTTTAATAAATATAATATTAAAAATATTTAAAAAATTAATTTAAATAAATGATAGGGATCAAGTTGAAATAAAGGGTTAAAACTATTTCTGAGCTTGATGAGCACGCGATGTTCATCACCACAATGAGCACCAAATGCGGACACGAAGAATAAGTTGTACGTTGAGACTTAAGCATATAGTTGTTGGGAAAAAAACACTAGTTTATTATTATTTGTTTTTAAATTATTTATCGTGCGTAGACCGAGTAAAAAAGGCGGGATCATGGCTTGGGTGTGAGAATAAAGCAGTTCATCCACAGTTCGCAATCACACCCTTTGAAATAAACAAATTAAAAGACGCATGTAATATAAAATTAATATTAATAGTGGTTGGGTATGGGGCTGGTAAAGATGAAAGGAGACGCATTCTTTTTGCAAAATGGGTTTGGTAAAACTATTAATGTTAGTTAATTTCTTCAATGAAGAGGGCGGCTGGAATCTATTATGGAACCTAATGTTCTCATATATGCCAGCGCAGTGAAGAGTGATTTATGTCTAATATTTTTTCATGATTATCTGTAATAAATTACTATATTTTACTATTACTAACTAGTCTAGCATATTGTGAGTAGCATGACTTGTTCCCTTCCTTACTTTTTATAAGGCGATTTTTAAAAGATTTTTTCGTTCAGATTTTTAAGATGATTTACAAAATATAGCAGGAAATTTGAAAAAGAGAACTTTTGTTTAATTAAGAAAAAATATGAAAAAGGAGGGCATTCCAGTGAACTTGTGGGAAGAGAACTAATGTAATTCTAAAGATATTAAATAGTTTTATAATATTGAATTGAAATTGATAAAGGTTTGGCACTTGAAAGAAGCTACTCCTTATAATCTTACTTATAAAGTAGAGAGAGAAAAATAGGTCATCTTATTAAATTTTTCAGCAAAAATTTTTTCCTTCATCCTTTATTGAATGTTGGAGAGAGAAAATAAATTATTAAAATATGTATATCTAATGAGACAAAGTTGATAACTTATTAAATTTTAAGACAAAAATTAATAAATTTTAAAATTTTTTTATTTCAATAAAATATATTAAAAGTGATTTATAAATAAAATAAGAGGAGAATTAATTTGGTCACCACTAAGATCACACTAAAATGTTGCAACGAGTTTTTGTAGCACCGTGCTCATCAACCAGGGTACTCATATTTTTATATTTATTTTTATTAAAATAAATATTTTAATAAATCAATTTATTTCCAACTTGAATAACGCAAATTTGATGCAGATTGCGTAATTTAACATTAAAAGCTTTATAATTTTTATAAATGGACTATTCATATGTATTTTAAATGGTCTAAATTTAAAATTTTCAACTCACAACCTTTTTCTTAAAAAATTATAAAAACTATAAAAAAACTAATATCATATATAGATTGTTTAGAATACAATTTTTAAAAATTCTAAATATGTATTGTCCAAATAGGTAATAAAATAGTTTTATTAAATTTTTTATGATTTTTATTTGAATTAAAATATAATTATAATTATAAATTTTAAGTATAAACGTGCCTGAATCTCATCACTGCGATGAGTTGAGCACTGAGACTGATCCTCCCAAATGTTAGTGCTATTTGGCGGAGCAGTGGCGTCCACTAATTATTTGTTGGTCTCAATTTGACCATTGATTGATGGAGCTCCATGCATTTTTTTCAAAAACAGGCACAACCACCAAACTTAATCCTCCATGTCATCATTTTGCTTAAAGCTGATTCTTTGATTGTAAACTTTTCGGGTGGCTTCTAATTTCTAATTTGGCTATGTAACTGTGTGTCTTATTTGGAGCGACTTATTTGGTTTCATGTGCATTTCCTCAAAAAAGAATTAAAAAAAAAAAAAAAAGGCATCGCAGGTCAGTTACGTGTTGGGAGACAGCTGTTTATTATTGTGTACTCTTCCCGTTTCTATATATAAAAATAATAGTACATTCATACAGTTTAATAAAATTGATTATGTTAATCATGCCTAAAAATTTAAAAATTGGACTGAATTATTCCTATAATTAATGAAATAAATTTGTATAGTAAAAACAAACACTAACTATATGAGAGATAATTTAAAAAAATAATATGATAAATACTTCTTGAAATTTGTAATTTTACTTACAAATAGAAGTTTATCCAACATTTCAAAACAAAGTAGCATATCACCGGCAAACTCTCTTTAAGTTGAAATGAAATTCATATTCATGTTATCACGTTCTAATTCATTGAGAGATGTTTATGAAGTCATATGGTGACTAGTTTTTATAAGATTGAATTCGATGACTGTAAGCATTGAATGTATGTAACACTTAAGCTATTGAAATCCATATAAATAATTCAAATAAACTCATTTATTGATTAATCTCAAGTGGAGTATGAATGTAAAATCATTTATCTGAATTTCAACAGTTTAAATAATACAGGCACTGTACTAAATACAATCACTGAATCTAAATTTGGTTCTTATGAGGATTGATCTATTGACACAATTTAGATATTTTTGTGTTTGTAAAATGCATTGTAAACAATATCTGAAAATAAAATTTTTATTGAAGTAATTGAATAGCAAGAAATATAGTAATAATAGAAAAGCAATATCTATAGTTTAAAAGTCAAGTAAAGCTCAATGGTATGTTTAATATACAAAAAGAAGGAACAATAAAGACGTAGATAGAACTACTATATATGCAGCGATCATGAACCTCGATCATTATGGAATTATTTATAATTTATAGCATATGAGGTGAGTGGGGGAGTAGGGTAGAGTGAAAATATTGTTGTTTGTTTGTCCCATTTCCATTGATTTTGGAAAAAATTGCCCATAAAGACTTCACGGGCAAATTAATTGCTAAAAAGGAGTTCAAGAGTTTTGGAAAACAAGGTCCTTTTGTGGCAATATTATAGTGAGTTAAAAGACCAAAATGCGCTTGAAAAATTAAATTTGAAAATAAAAGGAACGTTCAACTAGAGGAATTTTGTAGGCAATGGAAAGAACGAACAAACAAAGATGAAGAATTGGCACCACCGACAGCTTGTTAACTTCTCAACAACTTTAGGAGTAATTAGGGTGACAACGATACTCAGGTGACATCGGTTACAGCATTAAATTTTTACAGCTTTGGTTCTATGGTTCATCATTCGACACCCATATATATTCAAATATCGTAAGCGATTATCATGAAAAACTAATGTAAAAAGTTTTAGCATTCTACATTTTGAACATTTATTTGAATATACAGGTGGGTTATCATGAAAAATTGATGAAACAGAGACTTTGAAGCATTGTTAATCCATATGCAAGGTATTTGTCGTCAAATATAATAAGTTTTTAGTCATATACAATCAGTTTTCACATGTGTAGACACGAAGTGTTGAGATTTT